GTTTTGCACATGTCTCAACTCTGTATATTTTTATGTATTTTATTTTTTTACTCTCTTTTATTTTTTAAATATTTGTACACACACACACACACACACACACACACACACACACACACACACACACGTAGAAAAACATTTAGTATACACATCCAGAAATTTTTATTTTTTTTTTGCATATACTATTATATATTGTACATATATTTATTAGTTTCAGATTTAGCCATTCGTATATTTTGCCTGTTTATATTATTGTATTTTGCACAACTCTGTTGCTTGTGAAGCTCGCACACAAGAATTTCACTTGCATGTGCTGTACCAATGTACCTGCACATGTGATGTGACAATAAAAGTGATTTGATTTGATTTGACAGGTGCCATCGAGAGAAAGTGTATTATCAATTATTAAGCAAATAATCATAAATTAGCAGAATGTTAGCATTTAAAAAACATTTAGAAGCTTTAAAATACTTTTAAAAAATGATAAAAAGTTTGTTTTTTTAGAAGAAAGGGTTAATAATTATGGTAGCAGATTAAATCCATTACTACCTATTTACTGCGGTAAATAGGTATCTCGAGAGCCAAATTAGTCAAAATGACAATAATTGGAAGTAAACATACTTTCTGTAGATGAGTTCTGATGTTTTATGATAAACAATGAGCTGCTCCTTAACAATAGTTCTTCAGTTAACTGCAGTTTTGGTAGTTAACCAGTAAAGCAGGTAGGATGTGCAGTCTTGTCTAGCTCTCTCTGAGACTTTGACATTGTTGCTAATTGAACTAAATGAGTTAAATATCTACCCTGACAGAGAGGTTGGGCGTGCATGATTTGCTGAAAGATGACAACACTGTCAAGAAAATTCCTTAATAATAGGTGATGTGAAATTAAACTTGCTGGAAAAATGCCATTATGAAATTAAAAGAAGCAAAGAAACCACTGCACATCTGAAAGAACAACCCCATGCACCCTGAAGACAAAATTGCCCCAGAGAGGATGACTGAGTGGTGGATGAGATCACAATAACTTCATGAAGCATCTGTGGGAAACAAAACATTAGCAAAAACAGCAGGAAAAAACACTGCTGGCAGCATCCAGGAAATTCAGGTCAAAGGTCACTACTGAAGGAAGACCAGGAAGGACGTTTTCACGCCACTGACCAATCGAGTCATAGGCAAGTTGGGGGAACGTGTAGATGGAAATCTACACGTTCCCCCAACTGTCCCTGAGTCTGCTTCAGCAGGAGCTCTCCTTTGAAAATGGAGTTCTTCATCCCTACTGTCACCAAATGCTTGCTCCCAAGGCATCTTCAAACGTTCTTTTCCTAATATCACAGTGCCCTGAGATAACTGTTAGGTTTAATGTTTCTTTTTAAATGAAAATAAATTGAACTTGGGCAAAATAATGCCACCTGCATTTGCATTATTTGCTGATGATAGCAGTGAGATGTGGTTGAAAGCTCTAAAAAGCTCGAAAGTACGCCTCGAAAGTATGCTGTTCTATATTTGGAATCTCAAATAACCGTTTAAGTGCTTTGTAAACAGTATGTTTGTGCCTCGAGGCATCAGAAATGTCTGCAAATGCTATAGAGGTCAAACAAAAAGGCTTATAAAGTTGCCAAAGTGGTTTAAAACAGTCAGGTCTATTGAAATCTCTTTAGGAAACATAAAACTAAGCAGCTCATTTCAGCTGATCCCCTTATCCGTTTTAGATTAACAGTGAATTAATGCGGCAGTTGGTAAATCCAAACCCTCACCAGCATAAATCACTGGTATAAAAGGCCCGGTTATGATGAGGCACAAAGACTTATCTGTTTCACAAATGAGCACTCCAGCTACTCAAGCCCTCCCCCGCACCGCTAACAAACTTTCACGTCTGCCTCACATAATTAAACACGTTTGCCGGATTTGCCCCTACCGAGAGGGATGAAACAGTCCCACAGACAAACATTAACCCAGGCCCTGACCCCGCAGCTTGTCAAGAAGATGAACGTCTGAGACTGGAGGGAAAAAAAAAACAAAAAAGCAGCATTCCATTTCCAGTAAACCAGGAAGGGGGAGGGAGAGGGGGATTTTGGGAAGTTTGGTGAGTCATCACTTTTTCTTTTCTGCCGACTCTTCCCCCATTTGGCATCGCACCGCGGAGTTTGAATACCTCCACGGCAGATTGGCCCATCATGCTTTGAATGACTCCCCTCTTAAGTTTTGACAAGTGCCTTGTATTGTGCGCTTCTGGTAGGGGGCTGCAGCTGTCGGCACGGCTGTCAACCAACGCGAGAGCTCTTTGTCGGCGCCGGCGGATGCCTCGCTTTGAAACCCGAGGAGATAACGAGGCTTACAGTGCTAGGAAAAAGAATGTTAAAAAAAATAAATGATACAAGCAAGAACTTGAACCTGTGCTCGCTCTAACGCGCGTTCCTGTTCTTGTGGGCGTGCGCGTGTGAGTGTGTTCGGCAGGTTTTTAAGCGATCGGGTCAAATGCAGTGGGTGAGATGAGTCAGTGGATGTGTCTGACCGTGCACAGAGTTTATTACTCGCTTAACTTCATCTTGTGTGACAATAACATGCTGATGAAGGCTTGTAAAAATGATGACAGTGCTTAAAAATAGGAGCTTTTGCAGCAGTTTCAGGAGCGCACCATAATGGAAAGTAGTGAAAAAAATCTTGTGGAGAAAACCACAGCTTTTATTGCGCTACTCTCTTCTCCTATTTTTTTTATTTATTCCTTTTGTGTGACCACTCAGTCATCGTCAAAGCCCTCTTTCCCACTAACTGATCGTCGACATCATTTTGTGGTTGGGGACTCTCCCCAGCTGGCCCCCTGCACACCGCACAATAACACCCTCAAAACCTTCTATTAGGGGCCCTCTAGCGCGAGGGACCAAGCTCCTCTCTCCCCTCCACTCGTTACACACACACGCACACATAAAAGGACATTTATCACTCTTTAATGACAGACTTCACAAAAGATGATGTCACCAGCCGCAACACAACAACGTACAACAAAAGGGTGACTGCCCCACTCTCCTCTCAACTGGACCGCAGTGACCTCACGTGATTGATAGGCCTCAGTCCTACTTACTAGGGCTCTTTGTGCTGCTGTGGTTGTCATGGTATGTGGCACATGGGGCCTCAGCGCTGCTGCTGCCGCTGCCGGTGCTGCTGCTGCTGCTGCCGATGACTAAGAGTGAGTAATCAAAACAGTCGTAGAAACTGGCCTGCCTCACAAAGATGGTTGTTACCATTAAAATGTCATCAAACACTTGATATAAGGCCGTGTTTGTGCTTGCGGATAAGCGTCTATCGCCTTTGTCAGTTGTGGTATGCTGCCAGGCTGTTTGTGTTGTGTCTGTGCAGTTAGTTAAAAGCACTACGTGCGCACAGGCAAAATATGTGGCTTGAAATCTGAACATGTGTGTGTGTGCTCTATGTTAGCCGGTTTAGATGTGACATGTTGGTCTTATTGGCTTTGTGTCACCTGTCGGGTTCCATTAGCAGACATGCCAGTTGTTGTCATGGGGAGTTTGTCCATCATCAGTCCCAATAACACACTGTATTCATAACAACAGCTTATATGGTGCCCCAGCTTCAAAATCCCCTCTCCCTCTCCAGTGTATCCACTTCAGAGAAGTTATAATAAACAGACATAAAAAAATACCCTTTACACACACATGGTACCAGCCTAAGACTTCCATCCTGGCAACAGTTCCCCCTGGGCAGTCCCCAAACGCTGGCAGTTTGATCCTTCCAGTAGGATCTGGGGCTGTGATTGAATGTCCATGCTCACTGGAAAACCTTAAAAAGAAGGCACTGAGAAAGCACCCCAGATTTCTGAAACTCCTGAAACTAACTCTGACCTCCAGTCAGATATCGAAACACCTCAAACTATTATTGATCAGGTCGCTAAGTAAAATATCTCGACCATTTGGTAAGTGGTTGCTGGCAGTTGAAACTGGTAGGGTGTTGCACTGAAAAACCTCCATGCGATTTCTTTGGTTTTTAGAAGGGAGTGTTTATTTTGTTGATCAATCATTTTTGCAAACAACCTTTTTTCCTGATGAAAACAAGACGATAAGTTATAACTATGTAAAAACTAATGGGCGAGGACAAAAACTATGATGAAATGTATTCACCCAATAAATCTCAGTGAATAAAAACTAGATGAAAATGTTCTGGAAAGATAATATCCAATCAGAACTAATTCATTTGTGTAGAAAGGCGGGATGAGTTTGGAAGGGATCCAATCAGATGTATTCTCCCTGTACAGTAAGCCACAACTTTTACTTTGAAGGTGAGCAACCACTCTCCAACTGATTGGGGAGTAAAAGTACCAAAGGGACCAGTGGTTGCTCTGTGAGGCCTTAGCCGTCTCATCCTTACCCAGAGCTCCTTGAACATAGACTGACTGGTAAATTGGAATCTTTTCGCTTCAGCCCAGCTCTCTCTTCACCACAACCATCCATTAATTCTTTTACCATCACCAGAGAACAAGACCCCAGGAGGCCTGGAGACAGCAACTCTCTGACAACCGAAAAGGAGCAATCCAATGTTTTTTTGGCAGCGAACAATGACCTCAAACTTGGAGGTGCTGACGCTCATGCTGGCCTCTTCACACTCAGCTAGAAACCGCCACAGTGCATGCCAGAGGTCATGTTCTGATGAAGCCAAAAAATCCCATGTCATCTCCAAAACAAAGCAGAGAGGTGCTTCTGGGTTTCTGTTACTAGACACCATACTCACCCTGTGAAAAATAAACTTATTTTAGTAGAAATAATTTAGATAATGTTCTCTTTATGTCACAGTTTGTAAGTCTGCACAAATCCTGTCCCACAGCAGTTACTCACGATCTTCCATCAGTTTCCAGTAAATGTAAATAACCTCAACAGCATTTCTTTGAATGAGTGTTCTTATGCATAAACACACATATTTAACAAATACACTCATCAAGACTTTCCGTTTGAAATATATACAATACATTTATATATATGTAAAAAAACAACAACAACCTTTTCTGTGGTTTCCCTTCAAACGGGTGCGTTGTAAGCTGACTCACTGGCTCAACTACAGCAGATTTCCACTTCCACTTTGGCCCGTTCATCTGAGACGCTGCAGAAAAGCAGAGAGACAGCAAATAGTAATGGAAGGAGGAAGAAAAGGAGATCTGGAAGCCATTAAAAGCTGGCAGCTGTAGCCTGGAGTGGCTGATTCAGAGGACGAGAGAGAGGAAGAAAGAGAGAAGGAGGGCACGCCACATGATTGCCATAATGATTGTAATATCTGTGCATGTGTAGGTCATTAATGTAGAGCCTTGTGATTTAACAACAGGGAACATGAAGACTGTAAAAAGGCATTTCCAAAGGAAGTCTTTACTCTTTAAATCTCATACGGCTCTGCCTGCATTTCCTCTAGGGAATTATAAAGTCTTATCTGCTCGTGTTTATCCATCCTCTCCAATCAGATGTCTTTTTTTAAAAATCTCTTCCTTCCTCTCTCGAAAGGTTCACAGCTACCACATGAGCACGCACGCACGCACACACACACACACTCTCTCTCTCTGGCAACCACCGCTGTGTCTTTACTGTACACAAAAAGGAGAGAGAAAAAGAGAAATGTAAATTGTCCATGTAGATGGGATCATTTGTTAAACCTCTCCCCAAAACAGGGGCTGTCCAATTATATCCTAGTAACAGTAACCAGGCACAGCAAAGCTGTCAAGCTTTAGGTTTTCAAAGATTTCAGCAACTGTGTCTTATTTCAATCATCCATTCAAAAAGACATCTGATAAATGGTAACATACCTATGCTTATAACATGATATTTCTCGTGATAGAACCGACAGTAATGGACCAACTAACAGAGTGTTTTCTGGGCTGATGCTGAAACTATTTTTATGAAGTATAAATTCATGATATTATCATATACAGCGATATCCTTCATGCACTCTGGGAGTAGTCTGGATTTACAGTAAAGAGAGAATGAATGGGTCAGTTCCAGTATTTAGTGTTATCTGTTACAAAGCAGAGTGTACCATCAGATTACTTTTTCCTTGTGGAGGAAGTGATGGCTGTAGCTCAGGAGGTAGAGCAGATCAACTATTAATCTCTGCTAATTGGAAGGTTGGTGCTCGAGTCTGCCAAATATCCTCAGGCAAGATACTAACCCCAAGTTTCTCTCTGATGCATTAAAGTGTGAATGTTAGATAGAAATCACTAAAGCATAGAAAAGGTGCTTGAGTGCTCAGGTAGAGTAGAACCAGTCCTGTTAACTTGTAACAATTCATTTTTAGTAATCGTGTAACAAATGCCTTTATACAAAACACCATCTGTTTCTATTAAACTGTTGCTGCAGTGGTGAAATATATTCAATCCCGTGGGTGTGTCAGTCAGCATGTTAAGGTCAGACAGTGGTATTTACATTATTTTGTGTTGGAGTGATGCTGTCAGCTGTTAAGGAGCTCTATTTTATATTTTGATAATTCCAGAAGCTTGATGAAAAGAAGAATAATGCTGATGCCAAATTTTCAAAACTGCAAGAGCTAGTTTTTAGTTAAAGCTGTCACTTTGAGAGAAATTAATCATTTTGTTGTTGGGAATTTGCTACCAATATCAGTTTGCTATGCAATAACATAAAGTCAGGGCTATCAGGGAAAAGGTAGGCTACACACCCTTTGCACAAGATAACCAGGCTGCACCAGCTAAATGCAAAGGTATGTAACAGATTCCTTTTAAATGACAGTATTTTTGTGACGCAACAAGTCACTTCTAGCAATATATACTGATCAGGCATAACATTATGACCACTGACAGGTGATGTGAATAACACTGCTTATCTCTTCATCATGGCACCTGTTAGAGGGTGGGATATATTATGGAGCAAAGAAAAAAAAATCCACAAAGTTGATGTGTCAGAAGCAGGAAAAATGTGAATTGTGATGACTAGACATCTGAGTGGGAGCTTCCCCAAAACTGGAGCTCTTGTGGGGAGTTCCCAGTCTGCAGTGCTCAGTATCTCACAACTTACAGGACTTGAAGAATCTGTTGGTAACATCTTTGTCCAGACACCACAACATGTTTTGATGTTAATCTTCTACATGTGCTGCAGACTGTGCTGAGAATATAGTTAGTATTGGAGTTCAAGGTTAACTGTGTGACGACCCTATTTCTAAATTTAAAAACGTTTTTATTAATATGGGATATACATGAAAACTATTTGCGATGAGCTGTGATCAGTCAATATATTGGTTGGCTTAGGTTAGCACAGCAGTTCTGTGAAGTGCTATTTTAGGCAACTGAAAGTCGGTCTTAGCTTATGGTACCTAGCCAGAGCTGATAAAATCTATTAGCAACATTTCTCACTTGCCCTGATAGCATCTTCAATAATCATCAGCTAACAGTGAAAAGCATGCCTTTGTTAACTGAGCGGAATAATTCCCCCCCAAACCATTATCATGTGTCATAGCAGTAACTAAACTAAGCAGGGCTCTCATCCTGTAACAATCATCACGTACATTCAACTCCGAGACTGATCAGTAAGCATAATCCGGTGCATCCATGTGAGTCAGGTTAGTGCCAGGAGAGGAAGTGCAGCGGGTTGCCATAAATAGAGAGCAGACAGATTCCAGAGGAACAATTCCAACTCTCCAATATCCTGTTCAAAAAGCAGCGGGTTAGCCACCTCGTATGATAGGGGACTCTGGGTTTTCACCCATGACTCACCGATGCGACTCACTCACAAGGACCCACATCGCTCGACTCATCCCAGATTCAAACACATAATCTTGCATATTCAAATAAGGGGTAAAGCTAATATTGCATGTTATGTATGTACATATGCAAACAAAATTATATAAATACACACAAAATATGGATGTGAGTCTTCATAGTGATATCAGTTTTTGTGATCCAACACAGTGACAGTCATGGATTAATGGAGAAAATCGTAAATGTTTGTTGCAGGTCTGCCATCAAAACTACAAGAACTGCACACAGAACAATTCCTTTATTTGGCATGCTATCTTCATCACTATCTCAACTCAAGCCACTGCTTTCAGCCTGGTTAACCACTTTGTTCAGTGGTGTGCAACATTAAAAGCTGGGTCAGTCCCATTTCATTGGACAGTATCTACTTTTTAAATGTGCACAGTCAGCTTCTCTCCACATGGCCGATTTTCAGTTAAAAATCAACTGAATGAAGTACTTCTCTCCCTCTGCACTTTTTTTTCACCTCTTTATTTTCCCATTAAGTTTTTTTTTTTTCCTGTTTCTCTTCACCATCTCTGGTGGTCTGACATTAACACTGCGGTGGTCAGACAGCCATGTGATCCACCAGGTCAGCAAAGGGAGAAGGCAGACACTGACTGGCTCACAGAGCACACATACAGAAAGAGAAAGAGAGATGGGTTTCCACCTGGTATGAGTAACTTTGTTATCTAGGAAGAAGAATATTTATGCCTCTCAGAGTGAAAGCTAAAATAAAAGCCACAGTTGTAGCTGTGGTAGAGTAAGTATGATCTGTAGATACGAATAACATGCTTACTTTACATTCTGTAACGATTAAGGCTTTTTAACTTTTTGATGTCATACAACTCAAACTGCAGATACTTGAAATTTGAGAAAATCCAGATTTTTATTTTGAAACTAGATGGACCTGATTAAGATCTTGTATTGAGCTCTGGCTACTAAACAGCATTAAGTGCATGGCCTATATCATAAAAAGTCACCTGGGCCCTGTATAATCACAGCAAGGCCTTAGTTCGTGTTGCTGGGTCAGGCTTGTCCTCACCGAGTGTTTAACTCCTCCACAGCTGGAGGGTGTTGGGTTCTGGATCTCTTATTTGCTCACATAAGGGTGGGTGGTGCAATGTGTCACAGAGGTATCACCTATTAGTCCGGGTGACGGGAATGATCTGCATCCTTTTTTACACCTTGTCTCATGTGAGAACTCATATTATCGATAGTGGGTTGACGACCCTCAGGAGCATCTGGGACAGCCCCAACTAGTGATTTATTACCCGGGACTCTCCACCAGTTGTTCTAGCACTGTAGAAGCCTGTTGGATGAGAGGCGATGCATCCTCGATAATCTCAAGAAGTCCAGTTGTCTTCTTTTCAAGCTCTCAAGATCTCATCTTTGCTTTTTGCAGATGATGCACTTCTGTCAACAGTGACCTCCAGCTTGCATAGATTACATCGTAGGGTATCAGAGGGCCCTGCAGTCAAGTCAATGGCATATTTGAACACAATAAGAAAGTATATATATATATTTTTTTGTTCTTGTGATGGGGTGTTCCTGGTCTCCAGTGGTCAGTATTTATCCAAAGTGGTCAAGGAAGGAACGGTGATGAACCAGCGACAGGGTAATGGGTCGAGTGAAGGTCCAATCCAACAGACGAGCTAATGTAGCTTAAACTGCTGAAAGATTTAATGCTAGTTCTGACAGAAAGGTGTCAAAATAGACAGAGCATCACAGTTTGTTGTGTATGCGGCTGTATAGCCGCAGACCAGTCTGGGTGCTCATGCTGACCCCATCCACCATCAAAAGCACCAAAGATGGGTATGTGATCATCAGAAAAGGACCATGGAGCAATGGAAGAAGGTGACCTGGTCTGATGAATCACATTTTCTCTTACATCATGTGGATGACGGGCTATGCGTGCATCATTTACCTGGAGAACACCTGGATGCATTATGACAAATTGTGATGCGTTTGACAATCTTCTGCTGGGAAACCTTCGGTCCTGCCATCCATGTGAATGTTACTTTGACATGTACCTTAACACGTACCACCTAGCTAAGCACTGCTGCAGATCATGTACACTCTTTCATGGAATCTGTATTTCCTGATGGCTGTGGCCTCTTTCAGCATGATAATGGACCCTGCAACAAAGCAAAGATAGTTCAGGAATGGTTTGAGGAGCACAACAACAAGTTTGAGGTGTTGAGTTGACCTCCAAATTCCCCAGATCGCAATCCAATCGAGCATCTGTGGGATGTGCTGCACAAACAAGTTCATCCATGGAGCTGCATCTGGTAAACAAGAAGATTTGGCATTTGGGATAATTTTGGAAGGTTGTCAAGCATAGGACTTTCACTCAAGAGACTACCTACCA